TATTTGCTGAATGCAGGCTGACCATGTATAAACACAGCACATATATCAGTGATGAGGTCTTTCAGGTTTGATTTATTCTGTTTTTCTCGTCAGTCATATTTGGCTCACGTGGTAGCCTTTAGATTTACAATGTTGGCCTGAAACTGAAATTCAGAATGCCAAATTTCATCCCAAAGCACAGGTGCCCAGTAACGTTGAGAAAATATGAATTGCATGAAATGTGTGTATGTTGTGGCGGGGTGAGAGTCAGGGGGTGTTGTTACAGAAAAAAATGGTGTGGTCTGAAGGTAATTTTATTTTTTACTCTCACAATCTCAAGGTAGGCAAATGATAAGGTAGTTCATAAGTGTCCAGAATAACACTCAGGTGAAACTCACCGGACTATATTTCATTGGAAGATTGTGAAGTATCACTGCTCCAAGGTATTAAGAACCAGTTGGGCAAGTATTTGCCAGGAGTTGTTTTTGTAGCTCACCCTTCCTTTAGGCAAAGTGGTGCACTAGAAAAAAATCTGTTGGCAGTACTTCCTACTGCCTGAGAAGGCTTATTAAGATGAAACTGGAATAGCTAGTCATGCTTATTCAGTGGCAGCCAAGTGTCTGCAGATGTGATCAGACTGTAGTCATACAGGCTGCAGATTCAGAACAGTTTCCAGGGCTATCAGTAAAAATCTCCCATTTATACTATTGCCAGGGGAGCTTGGAATACAGAGACTATTATTCTGCAATGCCACTGAGTTGTCTGCATGAGCAATGTGATAAACATCCTCAATATTGTACTGGCTGTAGAAAACCTGGCAGAAAGAAGCCCTTAAAAAAGGATGATGTTAACGCTTGATTGAAAAAAGCAGATGATGTTTGATACGAAAATGGTCTTGAAAGTATATGCACATGAATTTCCAGAATCTGACCAGCCTAATAAAGCTACAGGCCAGAAATGAGATTCAAAGAAGGAAAGTGCATCTTAAAGCAATTGTTTTATCAGCATCCATTCTGCCACAAAACTGAGTCTGTTATCCTCACATCTCAGTGTTCTTCTATTATATATACCAATGAATTATCTTTGATTTCTTTTCTATGGTTACAGTGTATAGAAAATTTATTGCTCCCACAGTGTAAAGTAACAACTTTTCTTCCTATAAAAAGTTAGCACAATACAAGCATAATATGCTGTATTAAATAATGCACTTCCTGTACATATATAAATACATATATTACTTTGGAAACATATCACACATATTTTTAAATAACAGTCTCTGTTTTCCCCCCAACATAACAATATTAAGACAAAAAGTACATATAAAATCATTTAGTCAACAAACCAAACTAGTTTTAAGCATAGATTTTTGAATTAGGGAGGCCACTTGTCCATCTGGCCCACTTTCACCTGAGGTCCACATGTGCTGTAGGCTGTTGTAACCAACGTGCTGCATAAAGGCAGGAGGCAGCTCATAAACTGCTGCAGTGGCAGGACCAGCTTAAGCACTTACTGCCCCTGCTTCTGGTGCAGACAACTTCTTCCTACCTCTTACTGTCCACTTAGCCGTGTTCGCTCACCTCATTGTGCAACCACCCAATAAACAAGCTCAGAGAACTTATCCCTGTTAAGACTCCAGGAAGAAAAAGCAATGGTGATTTTTAACCTGCTCAGCGTATTGCACCACCACACAGCTGGTCATACCACCACAAGAGTGAGGTTGGGGCCAGAGCAGGGGCTGGAATGTGTGTGTGGGTGTCTAAGGAAGCAGCTCTTCACGATAATTTTGTTGTCAAAACAGTTGCTTTTGAAATAGTGGCCAATGTCCCATTTGCAGCCTGTCCAGACTGCTGAGGGAACTGCTAGTCAGAAGGCCATTCAGATACAATTCCAAACGAACTCTTCTTCCACTTACTGTTTTCAATTTGTTGAAGGAAATCCTGTAAACACTAGCATCCTAAGGTGACCGTGCCCTTCAGCTGCCAGCACTCAGCTGCTGATGTGTGCGGGGAGTGTTGCTCGTGGGCTGAACCATGCAGGAGCACAGCAGCTGTGCACGTCAGGCTTCTCCTCTTTCTCTCCCCAGGCCCTTACAGCCACGAGCCTGAACTGCTATGTTAACAGACACTGCCTATCTTGGCTATTTACCACTATACTACTGAAGTGTTTGGACTAGGAGTGGAAGCAACCATACAACAGAAGAAATCCACATCACAGATCTACCTGCTCTTTATGATCTCAGGCCTGTGCTAATTAAGGACCCTGTCAATGCATTACTGGCTATTGCTGTGTTTCCTAGTATTGGAGATCTCTAGAATGAGACAATGTGAAAAATTTGGGGGGGGTGGGGAACATAACAAGGCCCTTTACACTTTTTTCAGTGTGTATACCTGGGCACTGTCCAAATATGTTATGCTTAGTCATGTTCATTGTTGCCGTGGTCAGTTAACCTGCTATAAATGCTGGGTTTACAGGTCTTTCACCTGGAAATTGGATGAACGTTCCCTAAGAAAGGCCCATGAAATATGATTTTTTACTATTTAAAAAAATAGTTGAGGAGCTAAGGGACCAATGTAAAAATCCCAGTTTCCAAATTCTCTAGATTTTGCATTTGTAGCATCAGGCTTCTTGTTGTTTGTAACAGACATTCTCTAATTTCATAGTGAAATTTAACTCTCTACTGAAGAAGAGAAGCTTAACAGTTCTGTATTTTTTCCTTCTGCAGTAGGTAGAAATCAGTCCTGGAGTACTCCTTATGTTTTTTCAGTTATATCAGCATTAGCAAACAGCTTTATGAGCATCCCTTTGACTGTAGAGGTTTAACTGCTCAAGAACATTTGATAAGGCAGGCAAACAAATCTGCATCACAGTGTGCTCATAATATAATTCTTAAGGATCCAGCTTTACACTTTCTCTCCTCCTGTTTTTTCATTAGTAAACTATATTAAGCATGCTTAGGAAGCAAACTAATTTGTTTTGCTACAAATCCGTGAGATGGACTCTCTCCCTACACAGCATGATGCAGAACTTGACTGTTAAAAAAAACAATTAAAAAAAATTTTTGTTGGCTCTGAAACAGGTCATGGTTTTTTTGGTCCAACCTGATGACATGTAAAAGATAACCAGCATATTTTACAACTTGTCCTGTCTTAATTTTAGGCAGTACTGTAATTATCTTTTCCTGTATTCTTTCCAGCAGCTCATGCAAGAAAGTATTAGATGTTTCCATGATATTCCATTTTTTATATAAACAATTCCATAATTGCTGGCTTAGTACAGTCTTGTTTCTATAAAGCATTTACTGTGGTATTGTTCAGCCATCTCTGACACCCATCTGTGTCAGATAAATGGAGCTGGAAGGAATTTAATTCAGGTAAAAGACTAGGTCTACAATGGCAAGTAAGGTACAGTATTTAATTGTTTAATTCTTGGATGCCTTTCTACAGACCTCATGAAGGGGAGGGAGTTGTATGTTAAAAACAGAAAGGCAGATACTGTAATGAATTTAAACTCGGTGGCAATTTTGTTACTTATCTTAGTTATCTTTTGCAGCTGCATTTAATAGTTGTTCCCTGACTGCCGGTCTGGTATACACAGACCACTGGTATATGTTTACACTGATATTTATTCCTGTTGTCTTAACCAGAATTACTCTAATGGCCTGCACTGAATTTTCTCTTAGTTTGAGAAGCTGCTCACTCAGTAAACGTCCAGCAAATTTATCTGAATTCTGTATTGTCAGTTCTTTTCAAAATGTCTTACTTGTCTGGACTTGCTGAGGCTCACTGTTGATCCCCACCAGTGGGATGAGAAGTCTGAGCATTGTGGGTGGACGGATATTCTACCAAACAGAAAAAATAGTTAATGCTGTCTCTTGCAATCAAAGAGCAATTATTTCACATTGGTGTTTTTGTTCCTTTACAAGTAAGGGCATTAATTTTATAAATGCAGTCAATTCTGAATTTTCAGGCAAGGAGAGAGTTTTTCTTCGGTAAAAGGTAGCTATCAAGGCAACTGTTAAGTACATGTTCAGATGTACAGCCTGGCACAGGTGAGTTGTTGATAGCAGGTTACAGCTGTGTAAATAGTTTAGGCTGAAGAGATCAGTACCTTTAACTTCAGAGTAAGAATTAGGCACCTTCACCAATTAAAAATGCAATGGATTTACAGTTTCTTTGCATAATCCTTTGAGAAGCCCTAAGCTTACATCCAGAATGACTGCAGGACTTCAGAATGGAGTACAATAGGTTTTTAAACGATCACTGTGAATATAAACAAAATTATCATGATCATCGGTGAATGAGACATCAGTCACAGGCATTTAAAAGACTTCATTGCTCGTGCAGACAACAAGGTGGACATTACTCCATCAGAACTCACATTTGCAGGTGAGACTCCATATAGCGTTTGCCTCCTGCATTTGATCTGATTTTTATTCGTACACCTCTGCTTGTAGAAACAGAAAATGTATAAACAGCAGAGCACTGGGCAACTAGGCTGACAGTTTCTCAGTCTTTGACTCTCATTTTACTGTATAGTACCATTTAGACATGTTTACATTAAGTCAAATAAGCTCTGGTTACTGTAGCAGCTGAAGACTATCAGTATCCACTCCTATCTTCAGCATTGAGAATAAAGGGACTGAAGTAACCTGATATAAAACAGTGCTACAGGAAAGCAGAACACGAGAAGTCCTCAACCTGCAGAAACTCATTCAATTACTTTTGGCAGTGGTACAGGACATTTTTAATTTTACAGGGTTTTATATGTATTTTAAGTGCATTGATTTAAAGGCAGTAATTAACAGCACTACAGATTTGATGGGCACCAGATATTTCAAAACTATTGCTGTAATTAAATCTGTTGTCACTAGTATACCCAAGAGAACAGCAGACAGGCAAAGCAGCCTTTGAAAATGGACTTTCTGGAAAACAAGTATGAGAATAGGAGTTTTAAAAAAAAAAGGATTATTCCCAGGTCACCTGGATTTTAAGAAGATCGATTCCCATAAAATAAAAAACACTTCAGTTTCCCACTAGTGGGTTGCAATCATCTTGTTGACTTTGAAGCTTTTTCTTGAAGATGGATATCGATGTTGATGGCTGGTAAAATATACTCCAGATCTCACCAGCAGTAGTAACCTCACTGGAATCCTCTGTTTCAGTTGCAGATATCTGATGTGATCTAGGAAACAAGTGTTAATTAAGTGTTAAGGTGCTTGGGAAGTTGCTGTATGTCTCCATTACTGCTACACTGGCAATACTAGCAGCTTCCAATACCTCTATGACACATTTTTCTTCTCCCTGCTGCACAGTCACATAGGGTTTTGGAGCATTTGTTGGTTGTTTCTTGATCAAATAAAAAGTTAGGTATTCTGTTACTAGAAAAGTAACATACATAGAGAAATTGGTGACATTAAGCTTAGAAGTCTGTACATATTCTATTATTAACTGCTATTAATAAAAATTAATTTGTATATTTAAGTGCATTTGTGGTATGTAAATACAATATTCAACATTTATGATTTGTTGATGATTCACCCACCATCTCATTTAATGAGTATCCATCTAGAGGACACAAAAAAGACTTGGTATAAGTGTAGAGAAATTTAGTAATAAAATTATGTTGGTTTTACTAGGAAAACAAACAAACAAAAACCCAAGCAAGCCTCATTAAGTATCACAACATAATACATATTTTAATTTTAGTGATTTTTTTTTGAACCATTTTCAACATTTCAATAAAAGAAAGCAAGTATTAACTAGCCCATAGCTAACTTTTTTCCCCAGTTCCCCAACCTGGGATGAGGTTTTAATTTTTTTCCTGTAAAGTATTATAATATGACCTCTTCCCACCACTGTTAGATGCCTGATTACATTTTCTTCTTTGAAATATCACTCGGTTATGAGAAACGTTTTTATTCCTTAAGATGCAAATCTTGTCAGAACAAGATCAAAAAAGAGATTCTAGCAGCAAATGCTATCCTAACAGACCAAAAAGTTAAAAAGATGTTCTTATTTAATAACTTTTATAGGGATACAAATACATAATATATAACTTTGGTTTTAATAAGAGTAATCTGACAGTATCAGAAGGCAAAGAAATGAAGTGTACCAAGTTTGGTACAAAGCTGAGACGTCAGTTCTCCCGGGACAGTTTTACTCCATACTCACCTCATGGTAATGTGGAGAAATATCTTTGCTGTTATGGCTGTAACACTTAGGATGAGCAGTGCTGTGAGACTGTATATTGTCCACTCTGTAAAAAAGAAGTGGGGAAGGAGAGGGAGCGGGGGGAGGGCAAGGAGGGGGAGAGCTCTCAGTACATTCATTTACTTACAATTTTTAAATAATATTGCACAAAAGAAACACATAGCATTCTGATGTTCTATTCAAAACTGTAATTTGAAGATGCCTTAAACCTTGAAGTATTTTCTGCAAAGACTGGGAGAAACTATGTAACTCTCAGTCAGAATTGTTTTTTTCCCATGCAGGACTTCTCTCCAGAAAATTGAAAGTTTGGAAAATCCAAAGCAAATAGCAGTAACTTTATCTAACTAGCATCTAGGAAAGGAATCAAAACTCACTCAGTAAAATCTAAAAGCAGACTAAACAACATACTACAGTATATGCTACCAGTAGTATCTCTATGTTTGCAAGGAGATGGCCTAGTTTTATATCAGTAATTAGGTTAAGTATGGGATTTTTTTCCTTTCTAGAGTCTGCTGCAACAGCTGACCAGTATTTGTGGTCTGCTATCTTATTATCTTACGCTGCAGGCTCTTGGTCATTGTATTTTACATTTTGGTTGAGTTCTGCTTGTACCAATAAGTCAAGCAGGATTTAAAGAATAGCCTGACATGTAACATTTGAACTATTTAACAGACTGGGGCTCCAGGGGAGCTGATTTCTACATAATTATATCACCTTTTCATTTGGACTTCCATAATCTTGCAGTGGGAGGCTACAATGTGTCAATATGAGAAAAGGGATAGCTCTAGAATGTAACTATTGAATTAAAGCAATCACCTTCAGAACTCCTGAAGCTCAAAGCTGAAAAAAAAAGATGGGTAAGTTCTCTCCCACCCAATGCCCCTTCCTCAAAGCACTCATGATGATTTTAACAGTTTCATAACTGCATACAATCCAAGGGTGCAGTTTCCTCTTATGTTGGTATGCCTAAGCTAGTTTAACACTAGACAGCTTAAATGTAGCTGTGGTCACTGAGGTACTGGCCTGGGCCTAGTGCCAGAATACCTGCCCAGAATCCCAGCCATGTACTGCAACCTGACTAGTTTGTATATATGCAGCTTATGTGCAGTTATGCCCTTATGCTTCAGATTTGGAATGCAGACAGCTTCAGGACTACAGAACTATTGGAGTGTCCACAGTATGACCAAGGTCCAGCTTCAAGGGTACACAAAAGCAGATGCCCACGGTAGTTTAAAGATAAGAAAGACCAATATTGATATTCACCAAGAGTGCATTTTCAGTCCTCAATTATTTACAACTCAACAGTTTCCTGAATGGACTGATGTCTTGAAGATGAGTTCTAGACACATGACAGTTCTCAGTGGCATTTCCCCAGCACCCATTAACTTGCTTCATCCTTGTCTAGTCCTCTGTACTATCGCTGTAGCTTTTGCAGATTGGGATAACTGAGATGCATCCAGCATTCAGGCTCTTCCAGACTCTACAAAAGCTTCCTCTTTTTTCAGCGCCTTTTGCCACTACTATGGCATGTGCTGATCACTGAAGTTGATTCAAGTACAGAGGCTGCTCTGACTCACATCTTATCCTGATCACAGGGCAAGTACAGTACAACAGGGGGATCAGGTCCAGCCAACATTAGTTCATGAAGGGCGAGTCCTGTTTAATCAACCTGATCTCCTTCTGTGATCAGGTGACCCATCTAGTGAAGGAAAAGCAGTGGCTGTTGTGTACCTGGATTTCAGTAAGGCATTGGACAGCATTTCCCACAGCATTCTGCTGGAGAAGCTGGTGGCTCATGGCCCAGACAGGTGGGTTGGCTACACTTGGCTGGGTTGGAAACGGGCTGGATGGCCGAGCCCAGAGACCTGTGGTGAATGGAGTTAAATCCAGTTGGTGGCGGGTCACAACCAGTGTCCCTCAGGGCTCAGTTTTAAGGCCAGTCTTGTTTAATATCTTTATCAATGACCTGGAGGAGGGGATCAAATGCACTCAGTAAATTTGCAATGACACGAAATTAAGTGGGAGTGTCAATCTGCTGGAGGACAGGAGGCTCTGCAGAGGGGTCTGGACAGGCTGGAGCAATGGGCTGAGGTCAGCTGTATGAGGTCTAACAAGGCCAAGTGCCAGGTCCTGCACTTGAGTCACAACAACCCCAGGCAACACTCCAGGCTTGGGGAGGAGTGGCTGGAAAGCTGCCTGGCAGAAAAGGCCCTGGGGGTGTTGGTGGCCAGCCGGCTGAATG